ATATTCTTCCTTTTGCTAAATAAAGTAAAGTTTAATAAACGCCTATTTCCACAGTGCGAAATCATGTTTAATAAACTAACTTTGTAATTCATTAATATTTTGATGGTTTGTATCCTTAAGAGTTGTGGCACATTTTTTTTTTATCATATTCCAAACTAAGGCTCAAGTTTAGTAACGTTGATTCGCTGTGAAATAAGGTTTACAAACCTAGCTCTCCTGACCATTTTTATCGCAGAGTACTTGAACACTTTAATCAGAGTAAATATTGATACTTAATTACCGTAAACAAAGAGATATGATATGAAGTGTGGTCACTTATGTGCCATGCGTGATACATGTTTAGGCGACTGACGAGGCAGATTTTTTCCCGTAGTAAGTTGCCATTTCTTTCTGCGGTAGACCAGCTGCCATCCAAGGCTATAGAACCCAGTCTGTCCGGGAAGAGAAGAAGAGGATTTATACCTGTCCCAACGGTATTAGCACGTATGTGAATGTAATGGATTCGACTGGAAATCATTTTGGAGTTAAATATAAACAATGAATTTTCATTATATAGCAACACTTTTCTATCAGTAACCTTTGCATTATTACTGCCAACCAACAATTTTGTTTTTCTTGATGTCCAGTATACAAGGTGTCCATAAAGTTCGTGTGCACTTTAAAAATTTATAACTTTATTTGTATTTGCGATAGAAATAATTTGTAAAAAGGATAAGAAAGAATTAAATCTATATTTTTGAAGGTTTTATTGAAATTTTATTTAAGTTTCCACATGTCCTCCATCATTAGCAATACAAAGGGTAATACGATTTTTTAGTTCTCGGAAAACATTTGCCAACTGATTTACAGTAATGCCTGAAATCACGTGAGTTATTTTAGATATACTTAAAACTAGGTACATTAAATTTTATAACATTTTTTACAGATTATTTCTATCGCAAATACAAATAAAGTTATAAATTTTTTAAAGTGCACACGAACTTTATGAACAACCTGTATATTATTGGACACGTGACCGAGTGTTTAGAACGTTCTGACAATGAAACCCTGGTTCGAATCTCACCATAGTCGATTTATCGGGAAGGAGACCTCCTGATGTTATCGAACTGGAGGGGGTCGATCCGAGCAAGCGCCAACTTTGGAAAGTGCCTTAAAAACCATATCACGAGTTGACCCAAGCATTGTGAGTGAAATTGGGTAGATGTAACCTCTTCGTTCTAGCACCAACTCACAAGCCATCGTCACACGGAAAGAGAGACAAAGACACAGCGTCAAAAACAAATCGTTATATTTGCACTGGCTTGCACGAATCCAAGTATTTGCCTAACTCATAGAGACAACATGATAATAAAACACACGTTTCACAATTACATTTCCTTTCTCACAACGTAATATGAGAAACAAACTAAAAAAAAAAAAAAACAAGCTATTTCTCGCAACATCTGCCTAGCGGTCTATTGATACGGAAGACGGGAAATTTCATAAATCATAGTGTCTTTTTATATTGTAAATTAAACACCTTCCAGCTTATGTAATTTCTTCACAGTGCTATGTTAAAAGATAACGTGTCAGATGAACAGATCATGCTGGAATCTGTCTTATCTTGAAGGAGTTAAAAATCAGACCGTCTTCTTGTCGTGGCCAGTGATCAGTGGGATACGAAATTAAGTCTGACAGAACAAAGAAGAGGGAATGTTATTGATTTGTGCCGATAAAGCCAGAGAGCGGAAATGATAGACAGTGAAAGATGGATTCTAATGCATTTTCTTGCTCTTAGGTCCAGCGCCGTTTCATGTTTTAAAAATTAGAATTCTCTCTCTCTTTGTCTCTCTCTCTCTCTCTATTTTTCTCTCTTTCTCGCTTTCTCTCTTCCTCTCTCTCTCTCTCTCTTTGTCTCTCTCTCAATTTCTCTCCCTCACTCTCTTTCTCTCTCTGTCTTTATCTCTCTCTGTCTTTCTCTCTCTCTCTCTCTGTCTTTCTCTCTTTCCTTCTCTCTCTCTTTTCTGACTGTTTCTCAGCTGAACCTCTAGAGCAGTGGTTGTCAAGTTTTTTGGTTTTTTGGGGTTTTTTTACCCATGGATCACTTTTACTCTTAATTTTTTGATGGACTCCGTAACGATTCGATAAAAAAAAAAGCTTATTTTATTTTTTATTAATATATAAGTTTAGGAATTGTATTACAGAAATATTAAATATATGTTTTATTTTGAAGCAAAATTAATTTAATGAAAATGAACTTTAACAACTAAATTATATGAAACATTTATGTAAACCAGTGAAATAATCCGTTTTAAAATATGTGAGTTGTTAACGCCTAATTTTCTATTTTTGTGGTGTCCCCCAGCGATGTTACATGGCCCCCTGGGTGAGACGTTGCTCTACCAATATTTAGCTAAGATTTAGACATGTTAGATCTGGCTAAATCAATAAATTTACTGGGGTTGGCAACATGTCTGATACATGCTCAATGGGGTTTAAATCTGGATCACGCTTTTGCCAACTGAACGTCAGGAAATCGGCTGAGTCATGAGAATTTTTTTTTCTTTTTTATTGATTTTTTTTTTTTTTCGTGAACAAGCTTTTCTCAGTTTCTCGATTATAGAAAAATCATTGACAAAGTAGAAAAACCTTTCGAATGACGCTTTTCGTCATTTAGGACTTCATCAGACTAAAGTAATGTTTAGGCTGAAGTGACTACACTTGCGGACAAAGGAAAAGGGACCCCTGTGATTGAATATATAGTTTAGCCAATTTCTTTTAATTTCTCTTTCTTTTTCTTGATGTTTTTTTTATCACTTTTGTCACTAAGTATTCCACATTGTGATAACAGAAGATCTGCGGAGAAGCGTTATACTTAATGAGGTGCATTTTTATATGCTTTATGATTTATATAGCAGGCCAGACTGAGCTCTCACTTCTTGAGGAGCAAACAGTCTAGAAGATGGAAAACCTAATTGTCTATTCACACACCTAATCTTCTACACATGGTCAGTGTTTGACACTGGAGGCTGGTGTCGAGATCATTGGTCTGAAATTCACTGACACGTCTCTTGAAAATAGAGTTCCCGCCAGACCGCAGGTGGAACTTCTCTATACGCTCTAAAGACGCTGGAAACATGGACGGTTCCTTGAACCGCTCCAGAAAAGTGATTTACTTGACCCCCACCCCCACTAAGTCAGGTTGTGACACAAGGTCGATTTTTAACGTGGGGACCCGAGTGGAAATACTCGGGCGGCTGGTCATAGCTTGTCCAAGCTGGTCAGAGCTGCCTAAGCTAGCCATGGCTGGCCATAGCTTGTCCAAGCTAGCCAGAGCTCGTCTAAGCTAGCCATAGCTAGTTATAGCATGTCCAAGCTGGTCAGAGCTCGTCTAATATAGTCATAGCTGGCCATAGCTTGTCCAAGCTAACCAGAGCTCGTCTAAGCTAGCCATAGCTGGTCAGAGCTCGTCTAAGCTAGTCATAGCTGGCCATAGCTTGTCCAAGCTAGCCAGAGCTCATCTAAGCTAGCCATAGCTGGTTATAGCTTGTCCAAGCTGGTCAGAGCTCGTCTAAGCTAGCCTTAGCCGTGATACCACCTGTGACAGGTAAGGAGATTTACTTGACCCCCCCCCCGGCCACTGAGGTTGTGACACAAAGTCAGTTTTTAACGTGGGGACCTAAGTATTTTCACTCGGGCCGCTGGTCCAAGCTGGTCAGAGCTGGTCTAAGCTAGTCATAGCTGGTCTTGCCTTGTCATACCTGGTCCAAGTGATGCCGTGATACCACCAGCACAAGGACGGAACCCTGGGCCAGTTAAGTATCAAACCTCTCCAGAAAGTATCTGACTTCTCCTCCCATGCTCTATTTATACAAAGAGACCAGATTTATCCATTTATACAAAGAGACTGAAATTACAATGAGATCGGAATGAAAAAAAGAAGTGAAATTATTTAATTTGCATACGTGTTGGCTAATTTTCTATAGATTTTATTTTTCCGCTTTAGTATATATTTACCCAGGCCTCACCACTGAGGCACTGGTTGTAACACAAGGCCGGTTGCGCTGGCCTCGGTACGAGCACCGATACTTCTCTCTACTGCAATGCGAAGGTGCAGCCTCGTGCAGTTGTTTCCCCGAACTAGGCACCTCACAGTGTGATTTTCCGCAGTTACGACTATGTCCTCCGACGGAACCGCAAACCATCCGCATTCTGCCAAAAGGCAGAGACACAACTGAGAGATGATAAAAACCTACCCGGACTGTGACAGGTAAGTATCAAACCGCTCCAGAACGTATCTGATTCCTCCTTTCATGTTCTATTTATACAAAGAGGTCAGACTAAAAAAGAAACTGAAATTACAAAGCGGTCAGAATGAAAAGAGAATTACAATTATTTAATTTGCGTATGTGTTGGCGAATTTTCTATAGATTTTATTTTTCTGCCTTAGACTGACGTCTTTCGTCAATGCCTATAACGAACAAAATTTGCATTTTTCAATACAAATACAAAATCCAATTTAAAATATTTTGATTCCATTCAGTATAGAAATGTCTGCAAAATATTTATCCACAGCAATTCATAGGTAAAATATACAAATGATTAAACCACTTCTTGGTCTTATCAGATTAAGTTCTGTTCTTTCTTGTCTTAAAGCCAGAATGCTGCGGTCGCTTGTCTGTATCCCCCTTTTGTGTGTTAACGCCATTCTTAGTTTGTGAACTTTTTGCCTTATTACACTTACTTTGCGTTATTAGGGTTCCTTTGACTTTTTGCTCTTGCTTTGCCTGGCATATATTGTGCTGTGGCCTTGTTAGGGAGAGAAATAAAGACACAAGCGAGGAATTGAATTAAGCAAATATATTAACAGAAACAGTAATACAAACATATACAAACGAGAGTGTTACAGCAAGAATGATCGATCTGACTGACAGAGCTGACTGCTGCAAACTTCCCTTTCTCCAAAAAGGCAATACCTGCTCCTATTTATAGCTGGTAAAGTCCATGCGTGCGTGGGTAAATCACCATAATAGATAGATAGATAGATAGATAGATAGATAGATAGATAGATAGATAGATTTTGGGCCTTGTTGGGGGCCAGAAATAAAGACACAAGCGAGGAATTGAATTAAACAAATATATTAAGAGAAACTGTAATACAAACATATACAAACGAGAGTGTTACAGCAAGAATGATCGGTCTGACTGACAGAGCTGACTGCTGGAAACTTCCCTCTCTCCAAAAAGGCAATACCTGCTCCTATTTATAGCTGGTAAAGTCCATGCGTGCGTGGGTAAATCACCATAATAGATAGATAGATAGATAGATAGATAGATAGATTTTGGGCCTTGTTAGGGGCCAGAAATAAAGACACAAGCGAGGAATTGAATTAAACAAATATATTAACAGAAACAGTAATACAAACATATACAAACGAGAGTGTTACAGCAAGAATGATCGGTCTGACTGACAGAGCTGACTGCTGGAAACTTCCCTTTCTCCAAAAAGGCAATACCTGCTCCTATTTATAGCTGGTAAAGTCCATGCGTGCGTGGGTAAATCACCATAATAGATAGATAGATAGATAGATAGATAGATAGATAGATAGATAGATAGATAGATAGATTTTGGGCCTTGTTAGGGGCCAGAAATAAAGACACAAGCGAGGAATTGAATTAAACAAATATATTAACAGAAACAGTAATACAAACATATACAAACGAGAGTGTTACAGCAAGAATGTTCGGTCCGACTGTCAGAGCTGACTGCTGGAAACTTCCCTCTCTCCAAAAAGGCAATACCTACTCCTATTTATAGCTGGTAATGTCCATTCATGTGTGGGTAAATTACCATAACATATTGCTTGCTTAATATTATTTTTGTCCTCTTCCTTCCTTTTCATTCTCTTGTTTATTGTAAACATTGTCAGTTCTGTTTATATGGGGTTTTCTGCCAATAACATTTAACCAGTACCAATTACTCTACATGAATAAATATGTCTTCTCGGTGAAACTTGTATTTTTAATTCTATTAAATAATTCCAATATCGATATAAACGTTAGCAAATTTATTTGCCGTTAGTAAAGATGTAACGTTTGTCGTTAACCTCTGCTTCAAGATAGGCGCATCCAACAGACCCTGTTTTTGAAGGGTACACACTCAGTTTTCCTCTTGGAAATGCCTCCTCTGATGTTGCTAAAGGATACACATAATCCATATGTAATGCTTTATCTAAGCCGGTGGGGCCTTGTTCGAGCTGAATAATCCTCACTTTCCAATCTTGGGTTCAAAAGCGTCTTCGTGGGCTCATGGATGATTATTTCCCTCTGTACTTTCCATTTTTCCACAGACGGAACGTCAAAGGCATCGCACTATCGTTATTTCCATAGTAAATTTTCAGATGAGTTAGTTCCACAAGTCTGGTTCATTTAATCTAAGACCAGTCACGTTTCCTTGTTCGAGTCCTTCCCGTTCCTTCATATAGGATAGTTTTTTTCCCACCTTTATTGACTCAGTACAAGGTTCAAGCGCTGCTTTACTGAATACGATTGTTGATAGTTTTTTTTCCCACCTTTATTGACTCAGTACAAGGTTCAAGCGCTACTCAAAGTAGAGCTTTACTGAATACGATTGTTGAACATAGATAACGGTTCACCTGACACCTGATGTCAGGTGTGTTGATATTAGTTAGTTCCATTCGAACAGACACTTCCCAAAAACTGCTACTTTGTGGAACTAACTCCTAAAAAGGAGGCTTCCACGATCACTCACGAGAGCGCCTCTCTGCGGCTGCTCGGTCTCACGTTGTCTACTGACCTGAGATGGAACAAATACATTGAGTCAATTGCGTCGTCCACCGCAAGGAAAGTTTGCTCCCTGTGCCGCGCCAGGAAATTTTTCTCCCCGGGATCGATCCTTCAAATCTACAAATCAACCATTCGCCCTTGCATGAAGTATTGCTGCCATATATGGTCTGGAGCCCCTTCTGTTTGCCTCGGGGTTCTTGATAAGATCCAGAGACGGATGTGCCATGTAATTGGCCCTGATCTGGCATCTCGTCTGCAGTCGCTCTCTCATTGACGTGCCGTCGCCTCTCTGTCTTTTTTTACAAATACTTTCTCTGATGAGCTGCATTCGCTGGTTCCAAGACTTCGTGAATTCAAACGTCCTACGAGGCTGGCATCCCGCTCTCACCCTTTCACTGTTGAAACTGTTAAATATAGCCGCCTCTTCTACTCCAATAGCTTCATGTCTCGCACCTCTCGCCTGTGGAACTTTCTTCCCTACTCCTGTTTCCCTGATATCTTTAATCTCCAACTGTTCAAATTGACATCTCCAGTTGCCTTGATCTATCCACTATCCTTCTCCTCATCCTTTCCTCTATCACTCCTATCTGCTCTCGCTCCAAATCCTCTGCAACCCCTTGCGTGCTAGTGGCTCCCCGGCTTGCTAGGTGTGAAATGCTTTAAAAAAATCATCAGGTGTCAGGTGAACCGTTATCTATGTTCAACAATCGTATT